ACCCAACTACCATAGGAGGTGTCTCGTTCTCCTGGCATGTCTCTCCGATTTTACTTTACGAATTTTAAAGCTCTGTTAATTATGTAAACATTTAGGATTCTTATGTCCTTTTAAGGTTGACCCTTTTATAACGAAGTCATGAATTGAGAGTCTCCATGATACAGAATATAGCTGTCCTTATTTAGTTTCTCTTTGATCTTCCATCAACGTTTTGCTGTTTTCCTCAAATAGATCGTGTATTTGTGCACATCTGTATTTAGGTTTATGCCTAATTATTTCATCTTCTGGGGAGCTTTGGTAAATGATATTATATTTTTAATTTCAGCTTCTACTTGTTCATTGCTAATCATAAGAAAGTAAGTTTTCTGTATTTATCTTTTTTCCTGCAACCTTGCTATAATTGCTTATTAGTTTTAGTTTTATTTCTCAGACCTGACGAGTTTTCTGTATAGACAATCATGTCATTTGCAAATAAGCTGTTTATCACTGGTTTGGCTCATAGTTTTGACTCTTATCCCATTATTTTAGTGTCCCTAATATACACCTTTATCTTGAAGTGCCGTCAGACAATTTTGTAATACTCTAAGGGTCTGATACTGCGACAGTGGCAGTTTCAACCCTTCCCTCTGGGCTTTCATGTTATTATTGTCAGAAGCTTTATTTGTGTGTACGTTGTAAGGGCCACCAAATGCTATTTAGTAAAAGAAATTGAGTTTACCCAGTGGTCTCCAGTTCCTGCGCCTTCACCACATCACACGGATCCATGTTTCCATGTGGTGTCATCTTTCTTGTGTCTGGGAGACTTTTTAGAAAACTCTTCTCAAGCACTGCTCTGCTTCTGCTAACTCCTTTCTGCTTTAACATTTTGGGAAAAGCCTTTATTTCACCTTAGATTTTTAGAATTTTTCCCGAGTGTTAACTCTAGGCTAGCAGTCCCCACACCGGGCCGCCGGACACCCCGCGCGGTCGGATGAGCCTCCGGCCCTTTTGCCTCCGGGCCTGTTCGTCACCTGCCACTTTCCTCCGGCTGCTGTTAAGATCTTTGTCTTTATCGCCGGGTGTGAATCATTGGACTGTGTGTGCCTGTGTTTTGTTTCATATTTCTTATGCTAAGGATGTGTTTAGCTGGGAGTTTGCAGTTTTTACAGGTTTGGGGAAAGTTTTGGCCATTATTTCTCATGTCTTAGGTCTTTTCTTCTTTGCTTTGGGAGACTCCAAGTGCAGCTGTTTGGTTACTTGACATTTTTCAAAGACTTACTGACATCCTTTTTACTTGTGTATTTCTCTTTGCCGATCATTTTGGATAGTTCCCACTGCCTGTCTTCAAGTGCACTTGCTTCTTCTTCTGCACTGTAAACTCTGTTGACCCATCCCGCTTATCTAGATGCTGCACATTTCACCAAACAGCCGTTTGATGGGGTCTTTTTTTGTGTCCCCATGTCGTTCCTGCTCAGGCATCTGGAATACCGTTATCACCGTTTTAACGTCCTCATTTGCTGGGTCTGACATTTGTGTCCGTTCTGGGCCTGTGTCGACGGGTTTTTCCCCTTCATCATTGTGAATCCTGTTTTCCTGCTTCTTTGCATGCCTGGTAATAACAGTTCATTGGCTGCCAGAAGTTGTCAATGTTACCTTATTGGGTGCTGGATATAAATATCCTTGAGATTCTGGGACATGAAACTGTTGTATCATTTTCTTTCTTTCTTTTCTTTTTCTTTTAGGCAGGGACAGAAAAGTGTTTAGTTCAGGGCTAATTTTTTCCTGCTGTACAGAGGAGAGCTGTTTAACTACACCGGCATCTTATGACCATCATAGGTGGTGCCCCCTCCCACCCCCTGGGCTGACCGGCCTCCTCTCCCGCTCCCATTCCCCACCCCAGAGGAGCCTTCACTGGCTTGTCCTCTCGGCCGGGAACGTTCTCTCAGTGGGTGCTGGTCGGATCCCGCAGCTGCTGCTGCTCTCCGTCCCCGGGAGCCCGGTGTCCCCCACCCCTGCAAGCTGGGAAACAGGCGCCTCCTTTGCTTTTCTCTCTTCTTTCTAGAAACTGATGCTTTATTTCCAAGAGCGCCTGAGACCTGGGAAGGGCTCACTTAAAGGTGGGAGGTTGGGAGAGAGCCTTGATGGGTGGCGGGCTCGGCCCGGAGCGCCTGGGCATGCGGACACGTTTCCCTCCAGCTGTGGGGGGCTCTTGACTGGCTCCCCCAGGAAGTGGTGACGTCATCCGTGAGATCTATCGCTTTTTATCTAGCCTGGTGCCTTTGGTCACTAGTGGCCAGTTGTTTGGACAGGATGTGGGGACAGGGGCTCTCCAGCCGTGATTCCGTCCACCTGTTCAAACAGGACTTGGGGCAACGCTTATCTCCGCACAGTCTCCTCCTCCTCAGCTGTGTCGGGAAGTGAGCAGGCAGGGGCCCGAGGCCAGACCGGGGAGGGCGTGGGGTGCCGGCTGGGCCCCTCACAAGGCCCCAGCCCGGCTGCCTTCTTTCCTGAAGTCCCGGGAGCAGGGAGGCCCTGCAGGCGCTAGTGCCCCGCCCCCACTAAGAGGGCGTGGGGGCTGCTGTGGCCCGTCTGTGCAGGCAGGGTTGCTCCGAGCCTCACCGCCAGCTGCCTGCCTTGTCCCTGGGAGGGCCCCGCCCTGCCGGCTCCTGGTGAGGGAATGGGTCACAGGCGCCCGAGGGCCCTGCGGGCTCCCGAGGTCCCGGCCAGCCAGCCGATGGCTTGGGGTCCTGCGGTGCTTGGGGTCATGAGCGTCCCGCCCCACTCGCACGCAGCCCGGGACAGCTCCGGGCAGCAGGGGCACTGGTGGTAACTGTAATGGTCGGTCCCTTTGTTTCTTCTTTTCTGAGACACATCTCAGCAGACTTGCAGCGCGGAGGCTCCCCGGGCTCTGCCCTGATGCGGCCGCGGCGCCCTCCGAGGCCCACTGACCGCTGGATCCCTTAACCCGCCGCCCTCATGGCGTTTCATTTGAATTTCAGTTTTAGTCTTTATCTCATTACTGATTCTATTCAGTGCCTCGTATATTTCTTCTGAAAATGATCAAGATGTGTTCATTTGCTTAAGCTGCCAGAACAGAATACCACAGACGGGGCGGCTCAGACTAGAAATGTGTCTTCTCACGGGCCTGGAGGCAAAACCCAAGGTCAAGGCGCCAGCAGGCTGGGTCCTCCCAGCCTCCTCCTGGGCGGTGGACACGTCCTCGCCCAGGGTCGTCGCCCCTCTGCAGGTCTGTTCCGACTGCCGCCTGTATGAGCGCGCCGTCACGCAGACCCGGCCCACCCTTGGGAGCCCAGTTTGACCAGTGGCTGCTTTAAAGATCCTCTCCCAGGACACAGCAGGTCCCACCACACCCCAGCTCGCTCACCTGGCGCAGCGCTGACGCCTGCCCGCCGCCTGGTCCACAGACCTGCCCCTGACTCGCCACGGCTGCTTAGAGCCGGGACAGTATCCGCTCCAAATCCAGAAGGCCGAGTGAAGGCGAGCACAGGGCCAGCTCCAGGGCTCCTGGCAGGAGCTGCTGTGTGGGGGGAGCTGAGGGGACAGGCGGGGCGAGAGGGGTGGCTCACCGCCGGCGTCAGGACCAAGGCTGAAGCCAGAGCCACAGGTTGGCGTGCAGCGTGGGTGGCAGGGATCTCCGCTTTACCTAGAAGGGCTGGGAGAGGATGAAAAAGGAGGTTGGAGAGGCGGAGACATGGCTTGGGGACCCAGGAGTCATTTCAGATTCTCTGCTGTTCTCTGGAAGACGTCTGCATAATGTTACCAGCCAGCAGGCCTATTTTTCATTTTCTTCTCTGCTTTTCTTTTTTTTTTGGTTTATCTTCTGTTATCTTCAGAAGTGCTTGTCCAAAAGAGAGGCTGGAGGGGAAGGCCTCAGGAGGCCCCAGACAAGGCGACCCTGCCAGAAAGCCGCCGTTTCCCGCGGAGGCAGGGCAGGTTCCAGGTGCACAGCATCTGTCTGCTCCAGACGGGCGTGCTCGCCCCCAGCGCTGGCCTCGCGGTCTGCTGGGAGGTCAGCTGGGCACCAGAGGCCAGTAAATGCCTCACGGTGTGCTTTGTGTTGCAGCCTTTACCATCCTGTGGCTTTGGCCTCTCTTCCGGCCCCTCCTCGGGGCTCCATGGCCCTGGGATTCCACCCATTCCAGCCCGCCCGTCACCTGCTGCCCGCCTGTCCACCAACCCTGCGCCCATGGCTCCACCCGCCCGCCCAGCTCGTCAACCCACGGCCCCGCCCATCGCCCCGCCCCTCGTGGTCACGCCCACCTCGTGGCCCCGCCCTCCTCTGGTCCCTTAGTTCTGCTCTCATCTGGGGCCTGTAGGACATGTTTGTGTGCCACCTGGGGAGCTGTCGTGACCCCCAGCTCTCCTCTGGTCAGGACCCAGACTTGCGTTTGCCCCTCGCTGCAGGGCTGCTGCAGTTTATCACAGTTTGGGGGTGCAGCCTCCTGTGGATGGGCCTGCTGCACAGGTTGGGGGTGCAGGCCAGGGGTAGGGCCTCAGGCTGGCACCCGCAGCTTTGGTGCGGGGAGCCCCAGGTTCAGATGCTGGACCTGAGCCCTTGTGAAGCCGGCCCTGCCCGGAGAAGCCCTCCCGACCCCCCAGGGCACGTCTGCGTGTCAACCCAAAACTCAGCGCTCTCCTGGGCACCTCACGCCTGGGTCAGCCCTCCGGCGAGTTGCCTGCGTGCCAGCAGACAGAGTGGCGCCCTGGCCTCTGACAGGGTTTGCCCCCCACCTCCTGGCTCCCCCCACCCCCGGGCCTGCCCCCCTGAAAGCCCCATGCGGTCCCGCTTGAGGGTGGACACGCGGGGGAGCTGGAGCACCCCCACCAGGAACAGCAAGCGGTGTGGGTCGCCTCTCCAGCTTGCCTTAATTTTAATTTAATTCCCTTTAATCTTTAATGAAAAGTTGTAAAAGTAAATTATTTACCCAAGAGAGCCAAACGGCTCCTCAGAGCTGTTCTCGACTGAGGGTAATCACACGTGCGCGGAGGCGTTCTGCACGATGAACTCATCAGCCTGGTCACTGGCCGCCGCCGTGGGCACCCCGCACAGCGCTGACGAGGGCCACGGGAGTGAGTGACCCCCGCGACTCGCAGCCGGGCCGCGCTGGGCTCCCGGAAGAGAGCAGCCTCAGGGGCTGGGACAGGTGGGGCCCGGGTCCCAGGCGGCACTGCCCAGCACTGCCCGGGCACGAGGCGCAGGGAGGGCAGTGGGGCCTCTGTGCCTCGAGACCCTGGCCCCCGACATGGCCACCCCGCCCCTGGGCTGCATCCATGCTCTGGCCTCTTTTCCACACACACTCCATATACAGTAAAGTGGTGAGGAAATTCTAAATGTCTGGGCTCAGGGAAACCACATTTGGCCAAGTTGGTCATGACCCAGAGGCATGGGGGGTCGTGTGTGCACACGAGGGGGATGGGGACCGGCCCGTGGCTCTGAGCTTCCCGACGGCCAGAGAGAAAAGGTCTGCTCATGGCCCTCGTCAGCAGCCTGGAAAACGTGCGCTTCATTGAGTACCTAACTGGCTCCGGGCCTTGGGACACGGCCCTATTCGCGACCCGCTTTTCACTGGACATTAGTTTCTGGCTAGATGTGCCTGTTCCCCTTCTCAGAGCCAAAGGGCCAGTTTGGGGGTAGGGGGTGCAGTCAACAGCCCCCACCTCAGCACTCACCTCCCATTTCAAGGCCAGCTATTTTTTTTCCACTTGAATGTCTTTTGCTTCATCTACAGAGTGACAAAGCGCCTTGATTAATTCCCCAGCCAAGCCCGGCGCAAATCAAATTTGATTCTAAAATCTAGGCGCACCCGAGATTTATGGCGAAGGTAAAGCCTGGTCTGTCTTGTGAAACCGAACCTGGAGACGTGTTTCGGCCGCCTGCCCCCCGCTTCCCAGGCCTTCGCCTTGTGAGTTCCTTCTGCGTTACTCTCAGTCTGTGCTTTGGATCCCAGCCCCCCCCACCCCGGGTGCCTACGTGCCCCCCTCTGTCTCGTCGCTGGGCGGGGCCCCGGGCTTGGCCGGCTGGGCCAGGCTGGCTGGGGTGTGCCCTGCAGGCGGGGAAGGCTCCGCCCTCGGGAGCCCGGCCACAGGAGGCGGCGCAGGCTGGACGGCCAGCCCAGCGGGAAGGCCGCGGCGGCCCCTGAGCTGCGCCTGCTGGTGCGTGCGTGTTTCTTCCGTGCCGCCGCGGCCGGCTGTGTGGGCTCATGCTGAGCCCCCGGCTGCCCTCACTCCTCGCCCTGCACCACAGGGCGGGCGCTGGGACCCTGAAGGTCATCACGGCTGTGGGTGGGGCAGGTAAAGACCAGCACCTGCCCAGGCCGGCCAGCATGCATCACCCGCTGGGGCAACGAGCCCCCAGCAAGCCCCAGGCTGCTGAAATCAGGGGGTGCAGATCCGAGCCCAGGCCATGCCACTCCCTCTCCGGGGCGGCGGGAAGCAAAACAAGACGTAGGGGTGTCGGGGAGGGTGTGGAGAGACGAGGCCTCCGCCCCGAGGCGGGGTGGAAAATGCCGCGGCCAGTGGGGAAGGCAGCGGGGGGCCCTGGGGGCGCACGGAGCTCTGCGACCCGGCAGCTCCACTCTGGGCCTCACGACGCGCCCGAGGGGCCAAAGCCTAAGTCACCACGCTCTTGTCCGTGAGTGTCCACTGCGAGGCTCCTGGCACGCAGCTGCTCGCGGTGAGCGGCGGAGTGGGGCTGGCCGGCCCAGCGGCGGGCAGGGCGCTGACACCACTCTCCCGGGTCAACAAGGGGCCGAAACAGGACGCTGCCGGCAGAGCCAGTCACCGAGGCCACTCTGTAGTGTCCGCGACAGTGCAGAGTGAGGGGGCTGGACAACCCGAAGCCCGCTAGAGGTTGCTCTGGTCGGGGCTCGGGAGGCCAGTGTGGGGGCTGGGGGTGGCGGTGCCCAGGCTGCCTGTGACAGTGGTTCCGTGGGTGTATTAACTGTGGAGTTAGCGGGGCGCCGTGGGGCTTGCAAACTGATCCTCGAGACAGAAAGAAGATGTTGAAACAGAAACAAACAGACGCGGGCGGCCAGGGTCTGGCGGGAGCTGGGCCTCGCCCGGGTACCTGGGGGCCGCGGCCCCGCCCCTCGTGTCCGGCTGTGTAAGGGAGCAGCGAGCGCCTGTCGTGCAGTGTGGCGGTGCAGAGACGCGCCGAGGAGCAGGGCTGGGATGCAGGCGCCCGCGAGTGGCGGCGTGGAGGGGTGCTGGGGTGCGGGAGGGAGGGGCTGGCAGCGCCCGGCTGGTGTGTGCCGGCCCCTCGCGGAGCGTCTGCGTGAGATGCACAGGCCTGGTAGACTGGCAGCCTGGCGAGGCCGGGCCGAGGCCGCCATCGAGGCCAGCCCCTGCAGAGCGGAGCAGGGCCGGGGGAAGCAGCTTCCCTCTGCCCCTCTGCGCCACCTGGGGGGCACGGCACCCCACCCCGGCTCCCTGCACGGGCCCCCCTTGGCCAGAGCGCTCCCAGCAGGGGCGCCGGCGTCCTCCGCGGCTCCGTCCCTTCCCCGTCTGCTCTGCTATTTATAGCCCGTGCTTCTGGCAGACGGGGCCGCGCTGGAGCATAAACGTGGCAGCGGTTTCAGGAGGAATTTCTGGGCCGAGCGAAATGAAGTCCGTGACTTGGGCTGGTATTAAAGGCGAAGGAGAAGCGGGATGGGGCGGCCGGGAGGAGATGACCGTGGCCCAGTTTAACGCTTTGCGGGAGAGGCTGATCCCCCGGGGGACTTCTCACACCACGAGGCCCCTGCGTCCGCCTGGCCGCAGGAGAGCTCCACGAGCGGGCAGCGGGGGCTGGGAGGTTGGTGCTGACTTTCCCTGTGTGGCCGTGGCCCCGCCGCCCGGGGTTACAGCCAGTTGGGGGCCAGGGGCCTGTTGGTGGGTCCGGATGGGAGCCCAGGCCCCGGGCCCCAGGCCCCGGCTCGCTCTGGCGCCTTCACCTGCCACGCGGCCGACACGTGAGGTCAGCACGGGGGTCTGCTGTGCGCCGCGTGAGGGGTGCAGACAGGGGAGCTGCTGAGAGACACGGCAGCGGAACCGACCTGTGCGGAGGAGTGACGGGGCCGGGGGGGAGGAACGGGGGTCTTTTCTGTGCAGCCGGAGCCCAGGCCAGCCGAGCGAGGGGGCCGCGCCACGCCCTGGGCAGGGTCGAGCTGGCTGTGCTGGCAGCTGGGACCCAGGGCTGCGGCAGGGGCGAGCAGGAGCCCGGGGCCAGACTTGGGGCTCACCCCTTGCCTCGGAAGCACAGGGGAGCCGTGGCCCCGGCACGGGGGAGGGAAAGATGCCGCGTCTGCAAGTCGGCGCACTGGCGCGGTGTGAGTGCGGGGTGGGCTGCAAGTGTGGGTGCCTGTGGGCGCCCTGGGCAGCCAGCCTGGGTGGGGACAGAGAGCGCCCCAGGCCTGGGCCTGGCGTGGTGGGGCCACTTTGGTGTGGGAAACATGGGGAGAGGGGGCGTGAGGGCAGAAGTGAAGCGTTTGGCCAAGTTAAGGGTGCCAGCCCATTAAACCCTGGGTGGCGGTGGCAGGGTTGTGTGGAGGCCCCCGGGAGCGCCGAGGGCCCGAGCCCGTCCTGCTGGGCCCCGCAGGGCAGTGAGTCCTGGCTGGGCCGTGCCAGGTGCCCTGCAGACGCAGCCAGAGCCCAGACGCTGTGGCCTGGGCTGTGGCCTGCAGCTCCCGAGTCCGGCGCTTTTACCGGGACGTGACACTCGCGCTCTCGCCTTGCAGGGAGGCGTGCTGCCTCTCCAGCGGGGGACGGTGAGGCTCAGACTCATGACCCAGGCCCTGCGCAGTCCCTCCCCAGGGTGGGGCTCTGCCCGGCCTCACTGACCCCACCTGTGTTGGGCCCTCAATGGCCCGAACGGTGGCTGTCAGCGTGGAAGTTCTGGAGCCAGAGTCTGAACTCTGTGTGCCCTTGGGGAGGCCCCTGGGGTTGTGAGACCCCATCTGGCCAGTGCCTCACCACACTCACGGGCTGGTGTCCCTGCCCCCTCCCTCCCCTCGGGCCGGCCACAACTGATCTAGAGGTCGGGACGCAGAGAAGGTGCTGGCCGCCGCCACCCCAATGGCCCGCCTGGCGCCAGCCCTGAAATGGCTGAGTGGGGTGCACCCCGGCCCGCCTGGGGATGGGAGAAGGGGGGCGTGGGCTCCCTGGGCAGTCACTCCTGACCGTCCTTGGGGCGTAACAGGTGGGAGGGTCCTGCCAGGAAGTGGCAGGTCGAGCCCCCAGCCCTGCCCCCTAACCCTGACGGTTTAGAAACTGCTCCCTGGCATTAACCTTGGAGAATATTTCCAATTAGTTCTTCCCGGCTCCTTCCTAGCGAGGCTGTGACTAGCCGGCGGCCGGCCCTGACTCCCTCTCCTCAGGCGTCAGCTGCTCCGCCAGCCTTGCTGAATGGGCCCTTCTCCAGCGGCAGCCCAGCTGGTCTGGTCCGGAGCCAGAGAAGGGAATTAATTACCGCAGGCATGTGCTGGGGCCTTCGTGCTGACGGGGCTGAAACCCCGCCCGCACACAGCCGCCACCGGCATCATTACTATCATTAGATTCATTTTTACCAGAATCTTAATTAACACCGTGGGTCCCAGGAGGGCGGCCATGGCACCCTCTTAAATCCAGGAAGCGCATCAGACTCCCCGGGCGAACTGGGCCTCTCTCTGCTGTGCTCTGCTGTTTCCCCAGTGCCGCGGGGGGCATGCGTGATGATCGGGCTCAGTGCCCCAAGATCTGGCTGTGAGATGCTGGCACTCTGGGGGGAAGGAAGTGGCTGCTTTGGGCACAGAAAGTCACCAGCATGGCGGCAACTCTCGGGGCAGCCAGCTCTGGGGCCTGTACCAGCTGTCCCAGTTTGCTGCCACCTACGGCCCCAGGGGGCCAGCAGAGCTCGGAGCCAGGGAAGGATTAAAGGGGCAACTCAGCAGATGGGCCGAGGGCCAGTGCTCAGGGCAAAACTCACCCGTTCTCTGCAGGAAAACGAGAGAGCCGAGGCGGGGGAATAGCCTGGCACTGCCTCACGGCCTTGCACGTAATACTCGCTCCCCTGGGGGAACTGGCCGCCAAGGCCACACCTGCTCTTTCCACCTCACCGCCCATTTGACTGAGAGGCTCAGACTGCCCTGCTGGGTGGGGCTCACTGTTCACCAGTGTCCTTGAGGCCCCGATCAGGAGAGGAACCACAGCCGTGACACGCACCCGCAGGGCAGCCCTCACAATCCGCCTCTCAGCCTGCAAACAGAGGCCAGGATGGAAGCCGCTGTCCAGGTGCTCTGGAACCTCGAGTCAGCGCTCGAGCATTCACCTTGGCCCGCTGGGCCATACAGCAGGCGCAGCAGCTGGGTTCCACACTGTTGGGGGTCTCAGCACCATCTGTAGAAGAGGAAACTGAGGCTAGGAGCTTAGGTCACCTGTGTGGGGTCACAAAGGGAGAAGTGGCCAAGCAAGCTCCATGCCAGAGGAACAGAGCAGTCAGCAGATGGAAGGGCCAGCTTTTGTGTGCTTATCTGCTCTGTACCAGACACCCTTTGAAGTGCTTCCTGGCACTACAGAGGAACCAGTGCAGGGTCCCAGCAACCCTGAGTTTCTACTAAGCTGACCAGACTCAGCTCCTGTGCCCCTGCACATTCCAAAGCACAGGGTGCAGCCAAAGCAAAGTGTTGAGGGCAAATCATAGCCTTGACAGCATCTATTAGAAAAGAGAAATGTGTCCTTTCCTCCTGGAGCCTGGCTGCCACCCCATGCCTGCCTTGAGTGGAGGTTCTCTCCTCTGGGCCCCCGGCACCTCACCCCAGAACCCGTCAGCATGGCTGAGCTCTTGACTTACCTCTTTCTTCCCCTGGATAGTGAACTTCTCAGCACTGGAACTCATGCATCACCTTCACACACTCACACGTTCACCCTTCTCACGCACTACCACATACTCGCAGTCTCTCACATTCGCACATCCGCCCACCCTCACTGCAGAGCCAGACCCCGACACGCCTCACACAGGTGTCTCACATGTGCATGGCCATTCATGTGTGCTCACTCATCACTCAGCGTCACCACGAGAATGTTCTGGAATAACACCAGTTACCACCCTCCCGCGTGGAGGTGCCACAGCTGCTTGGGGTGAGGGTCAGCCTGCACCACCTGGTGTCACAGGCAGTGGAGGGGCGTGTCCCCAGCTGCCTCCATGCAGGACGCTGGCCTGATGGCCACGCTTGTGACGAACCCACAAAAGGCAGGATGGTGGGAGTGTTTTTGGGTTCCAGTGCTCTTCCTATGGGGGGAGGGCACACAGGCCTGATGGCCAGGCTTGGGGTGACCAGGTAACCTCCCGGCATCAAGGAAGGTTCCTGACTGTCCGTGTCCAGGTGTCATGATAAGCTAGCACGGGCAGGACAGAGGCAGCAGGAATCTGTTCTCTCTCCATTCTGGAGGCGGGAAGTCCAGGTTCAAGATATGGGCAGTTTGAGCTCCCTGTGGAGGCCCCAGGGGAGAAGGCTGGCACTGCCCCCCGGCTGGGGCAGGGGCTGCACCCTCCAGCCTCTGCCTCCCTCTTCGTGTGTCTTAGCATCTGTCCTCGCTTCTCTTCTGCTCCTTTTTTTGTCATTCTGAAATCCCAGCCAGGGTCTCCACCTGAGGACTCCACCTGTCCTCCAAGCAGGCTGGCTGCCCCCTCTCCCTGCTGGCGTGCTCTGAGGTGTGTGTGTGGCTGAGGCCCCAGCGGGCACCTGCCCGCCCCCACCTTTTAAGCTTTCCACCATTTTACCTTTCTCATCTCCACGGGCCCCTGGGCCCAGAGCTCAGACCCTCCAGTGGGCAGGCCAGGGGCCCCTGGGAGGCCTCTGGGACCCCACGTGACCCCTGGACATTCCGCCCTCTCCAGCAAGGCTCGCCGCCTGCCCCCAGGTTACGGCTCTGGCCCCCACCCCAGCCTGCCCTTTGGAAGAACAGGGCGGACCCACCTCTGTGTCCCCCGCACCTGGCCTGGCATGAAGGGGACAGCCTGGCTGGGGGAAGGCGTGGGTGGCCGAGGTGGGCGGGCGCCGGCACTGCCCGACAGCGTGTCCCGTGTCGCTTGCAGACGTGCTGGTGGACGGACAGCCCTGCGACTGCGAGCCCGCGGCCTGCCGGGTGGGCGACCCCGTGCGCCTGGAGGTGCGGCTGACCAACCAGAGCCCGCGCAGCGTGGGGCCCTTCGCCCTGACGGTGGTCCCCTTCCAGGACCACCAGAACGGCGTGCACAACTACGACCTGCCGCACGCCGTGTCCTTCGTGGGCTCCAGCACCTTCCACCTGGACGCGGTGCGTGGCGGGCTGAACCTTGCGGCGCCCCTCCCCCGGCTGACCTCGGCGTGGGGCCGGCGGGCAGGCCCCGGGAGGAGTCGTGCACCCCGCGTTTCTGTGCTGCCTCAGCCCCCACCCGCATCACGGCCCCTCCAGAGGGTCTCACCCTGCCACCTCCCGGCCAGACACGGCGCAGCCCCTCCCCGATCCCAGCCCCCCCCACTACCCGGACACCCCAGGCGAGGGGAGGAGCGCCGTTCTCCCAGAGATCCAGCCGAGGCCCTGGGGCAGCCCTGGGGGGCCTCCCAGGGGCCGCGGCTGCTGACACCTCTCCCCCACAGGTGCAGCCGGCCGGCCAGTGCGCCTGCCTCGGGGCCCTCCTCTTCCTCTGCACGGGCGACTTCTTCCTGCACATCCGCCTCCACGAGGACTGCTCGAGCAAGGCGCTGCCGCCGTCCTGGTTCTGCCTGCCCAGCGTGCACCTGCAGGCCCTGGAGGCCCCGGCCTAGCGCCGCCCGCCCGGCCCTGCGCCTGCCGGCACAGGTGTGCCCCCACACCCCCGGCCAGGCTCCCCCTTTCTCCGGCAGCCTCCAGGCCTCGAGGGCCCCAGACTTGGCGGCCGTGCCCACCTCCCACCGCCCCCAGCACGCCTCTGCTGGAGCTGGCGCTTGGGCAGAAGCTGACCGGTGCCCAGAGGGTGGTGCCACCCTGCCCTGTCCTGCAGCCTGGGGGTCACAGCCCAGGACATCCACAGGAGGAGAGGGCGGTGTGGGGGAGGGGCGGCCAGTCGTCTGGGGGAGCCTCCTTGCCCCTGGACTCTTGGAATCCCGGGGGCAGTGGGCACAGGGACGGCCCTGTGGTCAGCTCCAGGAAGAGCCGCGGGCCCTGCACAGGCCTGTGCTACCCGCCCGCCCGCCCGCCAGGGCTGCTCCCGGCTCCCACACAGCGAGCCCCGTGCGCCTGCGACCCGTTCTCAATAAAGGGCCCGCTCCTGCCTCTGCCGGTCCAGCGCGTCCGTGTCGTCCCCTGCTGGCCTGGCCGCGCCGCGCCCGCGCGCCTCTGCGCCCCATTTCCTCAGCTCTGACCCGGGCGGTAGAGCTGCAGAGCGGCGCCAGCTCGCCTGGAGCCCCGGGCGTGTGTGGCGTCCGGCACACGTGTGTGGAGCGGTGGACGAGTGGCCCTGAGGCCGTCTTGGTCCGGCCACCCGCCGGCGCGGCCTCGCCACGCGGCCTCCTCAGCCCCGCCGATGCCGCCGCCGCTTCTGCTTCCCAACACACCGCCCGCGGGGCTGAGGACATGGTGTGTCTGTGGGGACCCCCGAGCGCTCGGCGCTGTCCAGGTGGGGCTATGGCTGGCGCAAGCCCCACTTCTGCCAGGGGAGCAGCAGGACCGGAGGCACCTTGGGGTGTTCATCAAAGGACACCGCACCCCACACCGCGTCAGTGACGAGGCCTCGGGCGACGGGCGGGCTGGTGTCCGGGTGCTGGGAGCCCTGAAGAGAGCCGGCGGGGGCGTCTTGGCCTCTGTGAAGCCCGCAGGCCCCGGGGCCCCGCACCCCACCCCAGCAGAGGGGGCTGGGAGCGGCCATGGGGCAGAGGCAGAAGCCTCTCACCGCAGCCAGCTCTGCCGCGCCCAGGCTGAGTGACCGTGCTGACGCTGGGCGGGCTGCGGTGGAAGGGGCATCTGTGGCCTGCCGAGGGGGTGCAGCCCGGCCCCCGCAGGGAAACAGCCCCAGGGGCCCCTGCGCTCTCTGTGCAGGGAGCGGTGTCTGCAAACACCTGCTTACGGGTGGACAGGACACGGAGGACGGCAGGTGGGGAGGGAGGGCCGGGCTGGCACAGGGCGCGGCTGCCCTCGGGCTTCCACGCATGAAGTCCTCGGTCAGTCGGCGGAGTTTGCGATTCAAAAGTGGCCGTGGAGAGAGCGGCCTCGAGTTTCTCGGCGAGGGCCAGAGCCGAGCGCAGGACGGCAGCCCCGAGGGGCGGGGAGGCCTCGTCTCCGGACGCGCTGACTGCGCTGGGCGTCCCTGGCGGATGCCGAGTTCAAAAACCGTTGAAAGGTGGAAAAGACACACACCTCCCGTGAGGTGGGCCCTCCGGGCTGGGGACGGCGTCGGGACGGTCAGGCCAGGGCTCTGTCTGAGCGCCACAGGAGCTGCGGAGGGAGGTGGGAGCAGAGATGCGGGCAGAAACGAGAGCGAAGTTGGGGCCGAAGCCCAGGACAGTGCTGGCGAGCAGTCAGTGCATGCGTGACCTCGTTCTCCTGTGGCGTTCTCTGTCCCTAACATGCGAGCACCCGCCCCAGAGTGCTGCTGAACGCCGTGAGACAGGCGCCTCGGGTCAGGGGCGGAGTGGTCTTCCCGGAGGACGGTGTTAGGGATGGCCGGGCGCGCTGCTGACGCTGGTCCTGGGCGGTCTGTGCAGACCCCGCTGTGCTGGAGCGGAGGAGTCCCGAGGCCGGGGCGGGGCCTCGCGAGGGCACAGGTGTGTGCTGGCCGGGCCGGGGTCAGGAACTGGGCGTGGTGGCCGTGTGCTGGCCGGCTGTGCCGCCTCCCTCTTGCTGTGGGGTTGGGAGAGCGACACTGGTTGGGGGCAGAGCCCTGGGCAGGCGCCCGGGCGACAGCTGAGTCCCAGTTCTCCAGGCGCCTGAGCCAGCGGCCCTCACCCAGCCCTCCCCGGGCAGAGGAGGCTGAGCTCTGGCGGACGGACGGGGCCTGCCGCACCGCGCTGGGCCTCCTCACGCTGCTCCCTTCGGCTGTACAGGCCCGCGGCGGCCCGAGCCACCCAGCGGTCACGCCCGTCACCTACCCAGCAGAGCAGGGCCAGCGGGAAGATGCTCCAGCCGCCCAGCCTGGCCCAGCTTCGTGTCGTCCTGTGACCTCGGCTCGGCTAGTTTTGTCTGAAGGAATGGAGACAAAATGCTCATTTTGGGCGCTTCTGTGCGTACGGCTTGAGTGGACCCGGTGTCCAGCACGAGTCGCCACTGCCTGGCTGACACGCCCAGCCCTCCCCTCCCCCTCACTCGCGTTGCCCTCGTCCACCTGGCCTCCCTCGGGCTAGCGTCCTCTCACAGAACCTCGCTGGCCTCCTGACACCGTTGGCGGGCTGCATGTGTCCGGTGACATGAGTGGGGTGAAACAGGCCTTGTGGCTCGCGCGGCAGGTGGCCACCTGCAGCCGGAGTGAGGAGTGAGCGCCGCCGCCCTGTCTCCGGGGCCTGTGGCTCAGGGGAAGCCTGGACTCGGCGGTTTCCAAAGATGCAGCCATCAGACGAAGCCTCTGAACCTGCCGGCCTGGAGGCCACTGGCACCTGGTGTCCTGAGAGCTAGCCTGGGCCCAGGAAGCAGAAGGGTGAGGCGAGGCGCATGTTTGGCCTGGCGCCTGGGCCTCTGGACAGTGGCTCGCAGCACGGAGAAGAATGGTAAACGTGAAAAGAGCAGTCACACAGTGAACTGAGGGGCCAGAGTTAGCCTCCTGGGGAAAAACAGCCAGCAGTCATGTAGGTACAGCAAGAAATCTGCGAGTGTGTCCATGAGCCAGCAAGCGAGAACGAACAGGCCAGCACCAGCTTGGACTTCGGGAGTTTTGACCAAGCAGTAGCTTCAGTTTTCAAAGACGGCAGGATTCCGAGGAAGACGCACAAGCAGGCCCACAGGGAAGAGCCCTGCAGGAGCCCTGGATTCAAGCCCAAAGGGTGGCACCCAGAAAGGCGAGCGGAACGGGACCCTCCCGACTCGCGCAGGGCCCGGAGTCTGCAGAGCACGGGTAAGCCGCTCATTGACTGAGCTGAAGAAATGCACAAACAGCAGGAAAATAAAAGTTTAACAGATCTCACTAGACAAGATAAATATACAATAAACGTAGTAGATCAGTCACTTAGAAAGCAAGCACGAAGATTAAAAGGCAAAATAAAATTAAAGTAGCGGTAATTAAGAAGGGAAAGATGTAACGGGAGGCATCAAAGGGATAAAAGCGTGTCGGGAGCAAACAGGCAACATTTTGGAATGTGTTTAGATTTATGAGGTGATCAACCCCCAGCAGGCTGTGATACACGAGGAGCGGTTATATATGAGCCTCTCAGTAACCATAAGACAAAGACCTATAGCAAACACACAAAAGAAAACGAAAACACGTCTAAATGTGTCATTAAAGGAATCCAGGAGGAGGGAAGAGGATGACAGGAGCTGAGAGGAATCGCAAGAACAGCCAGAGAACGATGAGCAAAATGGCCGGAAACACACACACGTCCGTAGATATGGACGGACTGGTGTTCGCCTGCAGCCACGAAGATCTGCTGGGAAAACGGGACCGTCCCGTGAGAAAGAGTGACACCTCACCGTTGGCTTATGCCGTGCACAAAACTTAATTGAAAACGAGCCACAGACTTGCATGTGAGACTTGAAGCAAGGACGTGGCGACAGTGAGCGGCTCGGCACCAGCCTGCAGTTGTCTTTGTGGCGTCAGCGCCACTGGGCATGCAAACAGGACTGTGTCAGACTCGCAAGCAGCCACACCGCGGACGCTGGCGTCGTCAGAGCGCGCGGTCAGGGTGCTGGGTGGGGGAGACACGACTCACGTTGGGGGGACTGCCAAGGTGCGACTCAGCGTCAGGCAATCCAGCTGTCAGATGTGCAGCAGCTCTGAGTGGAGCCTTCTCCCGAGGAGGGAGACACCCCGTGCCGGCCAGGCGCTCGGGGGGACGCTTGCCGCCACGCGTCACCAGGGCAATGTCAGTCAAAGCCACATGGGCCGCCGCCCTTACACCATGCCCCAAGACTAAGACAAGACAGCACGTGCTGGCGAGGCGAGGGGAGTGGAGGGGTGAAATGGCCGGCCACGGTGGAGAGCGGGGAGATTTCGAGAAAGGAACAGGGATGCAAGTGGCCCAGTCTCTCCACTTCTGGGTATTTATCCAAAGAATATGAAAACACTCATTTGAAGGGGTGTATTCACCCCTTTGTTCATTTCTGCACTGTTTAGAGTAGCCAGGGAATGGACAGCCTAGGTCATCCGGTGAATAAAAGAGATGTGGTGTGTGCGCGACATGGAATACTGTTTGCTCCAAGAAGGACGAAGTGTGAGTGACTAAGGAAACCAAAACTTTTAGACCAAAAGAAGTAAATACTAGTTACAGGAAAGCAGGGGGTGGGTGAAGTGGCGAGGGGTGGAGACTGGGGTTCTGTGGGGAACATGACGCGGTCTGTACTGTGCAGGTGCTGCTTGAAAAGGCTGTGCACGCGAGACCCACCCAGCGTCACAGACCCGCTACTTAATGGAAACAACACGCAACCCCCCATCTGTACGGGAAAAAGAAAATCCACATGAACGCAGAGATGAAATCTTGCCGTTTGCCACATGAATGGATCTTGAGTGTATTATATTAAGCTAAATACATCAGCCTGAGAAAGAGAAGGATCCTCTGATTGCACTCTTGTGTGGAAGGCAAATAAACAAAGCAAAGCAAAAACAAACAGTGATGGTTAGCAGAACGTAACCGGACGGGGGCAGGCAAAGGTGGTCAGTGACAGGGCGGTGCCGATGTCTAAACAGAAAGCTGTACCTCTGAGAAAATAAAAACAGAGCATCACATCCACAAAGCAAAACCTGATAGAGTAATAGAAAAAGGAGAAATAGATAAAATTCAGAGCGTGCAAGTTCAAGACAACAGACTATCAAAGATACAGAAGATTTGAAAAATCCAACCAGGAGACTGATTTAATGAACTAATGATGAACAGCTGCAGAAAACTTGCCGAAGCCCGCTGAGACTTGATGTATGACCTGGCCCGGAAGTGGGTTCGTCACCCACACACGCTGCCAGGACTTGGTCTGGCCGAGCCGGACTTCAGTCACTAAAAGCTTGTCGCAAAGGGCTCGTTGTTTAGAAACCAGGGAACACTTGTAGGTAACTTGGGCTTGAATGAAGAAACCTTCGTGGCGTGGGTACACGCAACCGTGCGGGAGTGTGGGCCTTTCGGGTGGACCGGCAACGTGCGCGCTCACATTCAGAGCGGAGAGTGTGAGCTGACTGAGCGCCATCCCCAGGGGCTGAAAAAGATGGCAGAAGAGATCAAAGACAACAGAAGG